GGGGGGGGGGGGGGGGGGGGGAGGGATAGCTGGACCGAGATTTCAGTAACGTACAGTAACCTTGCTAAAACAAAAAAAAACACGCTGGATTCTTAAAGCTAAGGAAATATAATGCTCATCTGAGACTCCTTGTACCAGCCCGTTCCACTTCTCCCTATTGTGTCCCTCCACCCGCCCCCCAATGGCGGGGGAGCAGAGCCCGGGCCCCGGGGCCCACAAGCCGAGGCGCGAGCGCCCTCCCTGCCGCCTGGACCTGTCCGTGAGGCTGTCTCCCTCCCTGCCTGTGTCTGTCTGCCCCGCTGACCGCACTCACCTGGGGCGGTTGGAGATGCCGCTGGAGTTGCGGGAGAAGGCCGGGGACGGGGGGAGGGTAGGGAGAGGGGGAGGCGTCCCGCTCCCGACAGCCGAGGCCTCGCCGCCGCCGCCGATACTGCTGCTGGTTCCGTCACCGGGGCGACACCGCGACGTCATCAGCGGGCGACGGCAGCCAGGGAGTGAGAGAGAGTCTGGAGAAGCTGCAGGAAGCAGCTTCACTTCAGGAGGGTATCACCACATTAAACTTCTTACAAAATAAAAACTCAGGCCACTGAAGTAAGTGTCCTTTTCACTTACAATACAAATTTTCTATCACATTCACTTTTTAAAAATGTCAATAAATTGTTTTTCTGTTCCTGTTCTGACCACTTATTAAAGCTAAAATTTCCAAAGGCACTGACATTGGCTTGTACACATACTGGAGGATATAAAGTACGATATTTTCATTCAACAAACCTATTCATTAGGGTAACTGAAGCCCCTCATTTCTTTCTGCTGAAATTATTTAAGTAGTCTTAATACTAATGCTACGTTAACTCTAAATTCATCTTTAGCCTTCCCTGAAAGTGCATCAGTAGTTTTAGAGTTATGGCATATTAGTGTTTTATTTGGATTGCCTACTTAGCTGCAATTGCTCCATTTTCAAATTAATTGAATACAGTGTGCCATTCTGCTCTCCCTGCTATAGGATGAGATAACACAGCATGGAGCTGGAGAAGCGCAGCAGGCCAGGCAGCATCAGAGGGGTAGGAAAGTTGATGTTTCAGATCAGGACCCGTCTTCAGAAATGGGGATGGGGGGAGCCCAGAAATAAATAGAGAGGAGGGGTGGGGCTGGGGAAGGTAGGTGGGATGGTGATAGGTGAGTGCAGTTAGGCAGTGGTGGGGATTGGTCAGTGGATTGGGAGGGGCGGATAGGTGGGAGAAAAGATAAACAGGTTGTGTCAGGTCAAGGAGGCGGGGATGAGAGGGTGGGTTGGACATAGATGAGGCCGGGAGTGGGGAGATTTTAAAAACTAGTGAAATTCCATGTTTAGGCCATTGGGCTGTAGGTTCTCGAGGTGGAACATGAGGTGCTGCTCCTCCAGTTTGTGGGTGGTGTCATTGTGACACTGGAGGAGGCCCAGGATGAACATGTCACTCAGGGAGTGGGAGTGGGAGTTAAAATGGTTCGCGACCAGAAGGTGTTGTTGTTTGTCGTGTACAGAGCGCAAATACTCTACAAAATGATCTCCAAGTCTCTGTTTGGTCTCACCAATGTAGAGAAGGCCACATTGGGAGCAGCGGATGCAGTAGACCAAGTTGACAAGACCCGAAACGTCAGCTTTCCTGCTCCTCTGATGCTGCCTGGCCTGCTGTGTTCCTCCAGCTCCAAACCTTGTTAACTCAGACTCCAGCATTGGCAGTTCCTACTGTCTCTGGATGTGCAGGTTTGTCTGTCTAATGCAGAAGGTTTGTTTTGTGCCTTGAATGGAGGTGAGGGGGGAGGTGTAGGGGCAGGTGTAGCACTTCCTGCGGTTGCAGGGAAAGGTGCTTGGAATGGTGGGGTTAGTGGGGAGTGTGGAGTGGACGAGGGAGTTGCAGAGAGCGGACCCTATGAAAGGCAAATGGGGTGGGGAGGGAAATATCTCTTTGGTTGTGGGTTTGGATTGTAGGTGGCGGAAGTGGTGGAGAATAAAACGTTGGTGGGGTGATATGTGAGGACTTTATTTTTGTTGAGGGTAGGAGATGTGAGGGCAGAAGTGAGGGAAACGCAAGAGATGCGTTTGAGGGCATTTTTGATCACCAGAGGGGGAAGGTTATGGTCCTTGAGAAATAAGAGGACATCTGGGATGTGTGGGAGTGAAACACCCCCATCTTGGGAGCAGAGGCGGAGGAATTGGGAGAAGGGGATCGCATTCTTGCAGGAAGGTAGGTGAAAGAAGGTGGAGCCCAGGTCACTGTGGGAGTCGGTGGGCCTGAAATAGATGTCAAGAGTTCAGAAAAGATTTACAAGGATATTGCCAGGGTTGGAGGATTTGAGCTATACAGAGAGGGTGAATAGGCTGAGACTATTTTCCCTGGGGCATTGGAGGCTGAGGGGTGACCTTATAAAGGTTTATAAAATCATGAGGGGCATATATAGAGTAAATAGACAAGGTCTTTTCCCCAGGGTCGGGGGAGTCAAAAACTAGAGGGCATGGGTTTAAAGTGAGAGGGGAAAGATTTAAAAGGGACCTGAGGGGCAACATTTTCATGCAGAGGGTGGTGCATGTACGGAACAAGCTGCCAGAAGAAGTGGTGGAGACTGATACAATTACAACATTTAAAAGGTATCTGGATGGGTATATGAATAGGAAGGGTTTAGAGGGATATGGCAAATGGGACTAAATTTAGTTAGGATATCTGGTCGGCATGGACAAGTTGGATGGAAGGGTTTGATTTTGTGCTGTACATCTCTATGAGTCTATAATTGTGAAGCATATTTCTGAGAAGTGAAAATTCATGTGTTGAATTAAATTTCATCCTTTTTCCAATATAACAAGAGGAATACTCTGAGAAGTGTGGCCTCTCCATTTTAGTGTTTTGTGACCTAATGGGTGGTAAGGAGTTTGAGAGGAGAAATGGAGAGGTTTCAAGGAACCATTTTTGAGATTAGCTGATGACACAATGTGAAGTCCAGACTCATGAATTAAGAGTCATTAATGGGCAAAGTATTCCTAAAAGTTTCAAATTGGAATTGGAAAATAATAGAGGTCTTGTTGGTCCTTGATTTCCAAGGGTAAGGATTTCTTTTTGAGATAACTATATGTTCTGTATTTGATTATGTAAATTCCATGTGTCCACATTAAGCAGGAGAACTGTAGTGAGTCAGAAAGTTTCTTTCTGAAGGAAAGGAATCTTTCTAATTATATGTAACTACATTTTTTTAATTGTTGCTGGGCCCTTGTCGAAGCTTTGGACATCTATTGAGGAAAAAGCTGCATTTCTCCTTAGAGAAATATACAGAAAGGATGATGGCATTTTGGAATTGAAAACTGTTCTAATTAGAACCTTTTCAGATCCCATGCGGTTTCATGCAGCCAGAATATACTGCACTACACACGGCACTGGGCACCTTTCACGAACTCTTATGGTTACACTATTGTTCAAGTTTATGAATGTCGCATACATAAAGGAAGCCTAATGTTGACCTAATGCCCTGTACCTCTCACGAGGAAGCTAAAAGAGTACATTCCTAGTCTCGCCAAGATATTTTATGATCTATGTAAATGAACATTAGGAAACTATAGGAGCTACAATATTCTTTTTCATGAGACAGTGGTGCCGAATTTGACAGAGAATCAAGTTAACTTTGTGTAACATTGACCAATAGACTAACTGGCAGGAATAAGTGGAAATACAAGTTCATGCAAAAGTGAGATCATTAAGGTACAACAATTCGCCCGTCCCAATAACCAATTCATCTTGGAAACTGAACTGTTCTGGTGGATGCTCACGTTATCCTGAACACATTCAAAAGGGATGAATGGTGTACTTTTTTTTTTCAAATAATTCTCTAAAGCCAATTAAGCTGCTGCTGTACAGGCTGTGTGTCTAACAGTTTTTGGTGGAACAGAGCTCCTGTGCCTCCTTCAACCTGTGAGCAGTAGAGATGCATGTATAAGAATTGTAGCAAAGAAGGGAGACAACTCTTAGAACCCATATAGTGTGGGAGCAGGCCATTTAGCCCATTGAGCCAACAGTGACCCTCCATAAATGATCCCACCCAGACCCATCCCACTACTGTATCCCTGCATTTTCCATGGTCAGTCCACCTAACCTACACATCTTTGGACTGTGGGAGGATACTGGAGCACCTGGAAGAAACTCACACAGACACAGGGAGAATGTGCTGGAATCAAACCTGGGTCCTGGGTACTGAGAGGTAGCAGTGCTAACCACTGACCCACCGTGACACCCCAATTGTTGGGAGGGATAGAAGGAATATCCCAGCCATCACCAAACTGGTGCTTGGTAGCCTGGAGGAGGAAAAGATCTCCCAAAGAATCTGAATTAAGAACATGATAACAAGAAAGTTTTGGGAATGCTTATTGGGTACCTGGCACTTGCTGTTGGGTTGTGAGTAGAAGGTCCTGCTAACACATGAACTGTATTAATATTGCGTGCAGTCCTGGTCACCACACGACCAGAAGGATGTGGTTGCTTTGGAGAGGGTGCAGAGAGGGATTACCTGGATGTTGTCTGGTCTGGGGGGTTTTAGGTATGAGGAGAGGCTGAGTAAACTCGGATTGTTTTCACTGGAAAAACAGAGGCCGAGGGGCAACCCTGATAGAGGTCTATAAAATTATGAGAGGTATAGAAAGAGTGGATAGTCAGAGGCTTTTTCCCAGGGTGGAGAGGTCAACTACAAGACGGCACAGGTTCAAGGTGAGAGGGGAAAAGTTTAGGGGAGAAGTGCGGGGAAAAGTTTTCACATGAAGGGTGGTGGGTACTCGGAACACACTGCCGGTGGAGGTGGTGGAAGCAGGCACATTAGCAACGTTTAAGGCATATCTTGATGGACACTTGAACAGGAGGCGAGCAGAGGGATAGAAACTAGGCAATAGGTAGTGGGTCTAAATAAGGATTAGGAATCTATGGAGGCTTGGTGCGCCGAAGGGCCTGTTCCTGTGCCGTATGTTTTGTATATGACGAACATATATGTATATACAATGGGCTGACAGACTTAGGACAACAATTGCTAGAAGGTATTACCCAAGCATGAGAACCTGCACTAATATATCCAGGATTCCACTGTATATATTGATAGAGTTGCTGTAACTGTGGCCCTCCATCAGTTGAGGCCATCCCTCTGTAAAGTACAACAGTTCAGCAGTGAGCAGGATAGTGGCAATGGGCCATATATTTCAGGAGGAATTCCTGACATTTGCTATCTGCTTAGTGAGACCTCTAATCCATAATTGGCAATTATCTAACAATCAATTATGGTCCAGGACCAGACTTCCAAATTGATGTTACGATTTGGCCAGGGATCAGTAAATTTTATTTTTAAACTAGACAAAGTGTGAGCTCCAGAGGATGTACTAACAGAGCGAAGCCACGAGATTCCATGTGTTTAGCAAAATTTTACAACATTGAAGTAGCAATCCAATCTACAATACACGCACACTATGCTAGTACTCACCCGTATTTGCCAATGTTAATTCTACTAGGCTGTGATTGAATGCTGCACAGCGCAAATGAAACAACAAATGCGATCGACATGGATCCCATGGATTTTGCAGCAACACTGGTATAATCCCGGCTCTCCACCAGCAGCTAGCCTTAGCAGGACCATCCTATCCTTGGGTTTTTACCCAAGCTTCAATCTTGCTCAGTTGCACCAAGCAAACACTGTTTCTGAACTTTTCAACTCCAATTCTGTCAACTGCATGGAAGTATTAATGCTAG